GGGGGGGGGGGTTCAATTTCACTATACGAAAGTGTATGTGACAAATAAAGGCCTGATTTGAAGTAAAGAGGCCGAATGGAGGAGGCTCATTCTTTATCCTTATGCTGCAGATGCTCTGTTTAACTGTTTTCTCACTAGCGTTTAGTTTTTACACTTACAATGTCCGCCATGTAAATAGTAAATGTGCCATGGCGTGATGCAACTGTTTCTTAAAAGGAATGGGAGATGAGAACCTGATTGGTTAAATGCATGTCATGCTCAAAACATACCCAGAACTAATTAACAGAATAATCTCAACCCTGTTAGAGCGTGTGTAAGGGCGCAGAGTGCATTTTTCCATCCTTAAAATAGCAAAAGTGGATTCAGACACACCCTTTATGCTTTTTGCACCCTGCACTTTAGACTTTGTGCCTAGATCATGAAAATCGAGCCCAAAAAATATCCAGCTTTGGGCTAACAAAGATAAAAAAAAGTCTTAAAAGTGACACATCAAAGTTTGTCACTTGTTATGAAGTTGTCATCTATCTAGTGTCTTGTTCAAGCATGCACATATTTAATCAAGTCTCCATCTGTGTTTTACCTCCTCAAGACATGTCAGACCTCAGGATTGTAATGTTGGGTGAAAGTGGAGCAGGGAAGAGCTCATCAGGAAACACCATCCTGGGAGAAAAAGTGTTCATTAAACAATTCACTGATAAATCTGTGACCGAGAAATGCCAGAAACACCAGCGTGAGGTCAAAGGTCGGATCATCTCCGTCATCGACACTCCAGGACTGTGTGACACGTCGATAAATAAAGAAGAAGTGAAGAAAGAAATGGAGAAAAGCACTGAAACATCTGCTCCTGGTCCTCACGTGTTTCTGCTGGTGCTCAGACTGGACGAGAAACCAGCAAACCAAGAGAAAAACACAATGAAATGGATCCAGGAGAACTTTGGGGAAGAAGCTAATCGGTACACCATCATCCTCTTCACTAGAGGAGATCAGATTAAAACATCCATAGAGGAGTTTCTGGCAAATAACGAGGAGATGAGAGCACTAGCTGAACAGTGTAAAGGTGGATACCATGTCTTCAACAACACAGATGAACAAAACAGATCTCAGGTCAGTGAGCTGCTGGAGAAGATCGACTCAATGCTGGAGGAAAACGGAGGACAGTTTTACACCAATGAGATGTACATGGAGGCTCAGAGAGGCAGAAATCTGACCAGGGCTCAGAAAGCGGTGTTTGTGGGAGCAGGTCTGCTTGGAGGAGCCATTGAAGGAGCAGGAGCTGTTGCTGTGGTTCAAACTGCCATGGCTTTAGCAGCCATTCCTGCGGCTTTTATCGCTGCAGGAGTCGCTATAATGGCTGAAGGAGCTGCTCTGACTTTTATAGATGCACTGAGAGCATGCATAAAAAGGAGAAATAGAGACAATGGTAAATAAAGGTTATGAGGACAGTGTTGGAGTGATGCATTAAAATTAATGTACTGAGAGCATGCATGAAGAAATGAAGAAAGCAGTAAATGAAGGGGTTATTAGCACTGCAGGACAGTGTACAGGTAATATTTGATCAAATATTGTGCACTGAGAGCATGCATGAAAAGGCGAAATAAAGAAAATGGCAAAGTAATGGGTTATTAGTACTGCATGACAGTGTTGGGGTAATATTTTATCAAATATTGTGCACTGAGAGCATGCATGAAGAGGAGAAATAAAGAAAACGGCAAATAAATGGGTTATTAGTACTGCAGGATAGTGTTGTTGGGGTAATATATTACAAATAAAGTGAAAGTATGGAAGAAGAGGAGAAATAAAGAAAGGTTATAAGGACCGGGTTGGGGTGATGATTATAAATAAGATGCACTGCAAAAACAAACAAAAAAAAAAAACATTAAAAACATTAGTTAATGTTAATTAATGCATTTACTAACATGAACAATGAACAATACATTTACCACTGTATTTGTTCATGTTAGTGAACGTTATTTAATGAAAATACAGTAGTTCATTGTTAGTTCATGTTAACTCATGGTGCATTAACTAATGTTAACAAGCATGGACTTGGATGTTAATAATGCATTAGTAAATGTTCAGTTATGATTAATAAATGCTGTACATGTGTTGTTCATGATTAGTTCATGTTAGTAAATGCATTAACTAATGAACCTTATTGTAAAGTGTTACCAAAACACAGAAACTTTGCCTTGTTTATAGTCCATGTATCTAATAATTCTTGAAGTAAGAAGCATTTTTCTAGATATGTCAAGACAAAGAAACAAAATAATGAACAATAATAAATTTATAAAAGAACAAAATCCGTTGCCAGCTACTTCTCATTTATTAATTGCATTCATTCTCTTGTCTGTGTTGACGTGTGTACAGTAAATCATACATAGAATTTAAAATTATAAATACAGTGCTCAGCATAAGTGAGTGCATCCCAGTTTAAATACGAATAATTTTACCTATATCTCAGTGAATATGTCATATATTTTAGTGCATTTGAACAAAACAGATTTATCAAACAGATATATTTATTAAACTAATAATTTAGATGCCAAACAGATTTAGAAATAGATAAATAATACATTTAAACTCATAGTGCAAAAAAAAAAACATACACACACACACACACATATATATATATATAATGTTTTTAAATATATATTTTGTGTTTCTCTTGATCTCATGTAATTTTCCCTAACATACAAATTTTGGCCACTATTTGGCCTCATTATTGATTAATTTATTGTATGTGCATACACAAATAAAATAGTGTAAAGCATCCTACACTCTCAGAAATAAAGGTGTCACTGGGGTGGTACCTTTTTAAAAGGTACACAATTGTACTCGAAGTGTCCATATTGGTTCCTCAGAAGTATACATTAGTACCTACACATTTTAAGAGGAACACTTTTGTACTCTTTAGGTAGTAAAATGTACCCGTGGGGTATTAATATGGACCTTTTAGGAACAAATTTGTACCACCCCAGTGACAACTCTCTTACCTTCATTTCTGAGACTATTTAGAGAATATATATATATATATATATATATATATATATATATATATATATATATATATATATATATATATATATATATATATATATATATATATATATATATATATATATATATATATATATATATATATATATATATATATATATATATATATATATATATATATATATATATATATATATATATATATATATATATATATATATATATATATATATATATATATATATATATATATATATATATATATATATATATATATATATATATATATATATATATATATATATATATATATATATATATATATATATATATATATATATATATATATATATATATATATATATATATATATATATATATATATATATATATATATATATATATATATATATATATATATATATATATATATATATATATATATATATATATATATATATATATATATATATATATATATATATATATATATATATATATATATATATATATATATATATATATATATATATATATATATATATATATATATATATATATATATATATATATATATATATATATATATATATATATATATATATATATATATATATATATATATATATATATATATATATATATATATATATATATATATATATATATATATATATATATATATATATATATATATATATATATATATATATATATATATATATA